CTGATGCTGACAACGATAATGATGATGATGATAATGATAATGCAGTTGCTGATGCTGCTGCGTCTGATATTGCTGTTGCCAGCTTTGATAATAAAAAATATTTTGATGCGGTTGATGAAGATGCTTCTGCTGCTAATGATGATTGTGATGATGGTGAGGGAAATGGTAATGGTGAGATTATTGATAGCGGTGATTGCGTCGATGATTGGCGCAGAGCTGAGAGATGAAGAAAATTTTCATTCTTAAAATAAAATTGACACTCAAAAACCCTAATTAAGTGTAACGAAGTTAGAGTATGGCAATTTAAAAGATATTATTCTATTTATAGAATCTTAAGCAACTCATGTATTTAGTACCTACTGAACTAATTGTACTCACTCCAAGCTTCTGTTCCTTGCCCTGCTGAAATTTTAGTTGCGCAAAGAAGAATTCCGGTAGACGCAACGACATTCGACGTGTATAAATTTGAAGTGCTGTAGATACTATTTGCATATCTGGTGCATGTGCAGCTATTTTCGTTTTGACAAGATTGATAGAGTATCGTACTAAGAGGCAGTGTGTCATAGGACGACATGAGACTTCCACAACATTCACCATTTCCAGAGCATACAAGCTGATCCTGAGAACTGATTGGCCAGGTTCTAGTCATGTGACATGCGTCAGCTTTGCACGTCTGTGCACAGTTATCAGCGGTACAGCGCATATTGCACACATTTCCAGTGTCGCATGTCTGTTTTTTACAACCGCCTCCGCTACATTCCATATTACATGTTTTGGCCTGGCAAGTTTGTTCACAATGCTGTCTACTACATCCCAGATGCATTTTGCATTCTTCCACCTTGCCTTCGCATTTCTGTATTTTACACCCGCCTCTGCTACAATTCATTTCACATTTTTTTGTAGCCTTGCAAGTCTGTTGACAATCCTTTCCGTTACATCCCAGATGCATTTTACATTCTTTTACTTGATCTTCGCAGTTTTGTCCTTTACAACCGCCTCCGAAACATTTCAGAACACATGTATCAGCCTTGCCAGTGCGTTCTTCACAATCCTTTTCGCTGCATTCCATACTACAAAAACAATGACCATTGCGGAAATTCTGAAGAATTTCATGAAATGCGTACGGTCTACACTTATCTGGATCGCAAGCGTCAGGGCCAAGCCCAATACCTAAAGAAACAAATTGCAATAGGGATAATACTGATAGAGATAGTTCCGACAATTACAAAGCGAATATATCAGAAATCGCAAATTAATTCATAGACAAGGTACTGATTTATACAAACACTAGCAGATTGTTAGCAACTTTTTTATAACATAACCAAAGTAAAGCGCGCTTTGATTGGTCAACTCATCGTCCACCGTTTGCTCACGGGTTTACGCTGTTGACCTGAGCAAATGTAAAGACTAGTTATCCGAGCGCACTTGTTTCTTCTGGTCACGTAACATTAGTTAATTTAAAGAAAACTCTTTTGCTATAATGTATCAATGTTATGTTATAAAACAAATAGTAAACGCCACACTGTACACTATTGAGTTATGGAGGCACTGGGGAGGTCTGCTTAGCACTCAAGAAGCTAGATGTCGCTCTCGGCTATCGCCTCCCGCGACCCTTACGCTTCTTTCGTGCTTAGCAACCTCCCGCGTGCATCCATAGCTCAGTAGTGTTCGCTTTGGTGTTTACCACTGCTTAATTTTTAATGTACAAGAGTTATTATCCTGTATTTTATCCGATATCGCATCTCTTATACCATTCTTCTATGGACGCAATATCTCTGGGTTTTAGATGGGTCAAACGTGATTTCTCTAGTAGATATCTAGGAATTATAACCTTTTGAGCGTCCACAGGAAATTGCGCCAAAATGCTGATTACTTGTACAACAAAAGTACTTTTATGTTTCTTTTGATAGCAAAGCAATTACGCTTAAGAAAGAGAACTTTTTTTTGAAAGTATAAGAACTAGATACCTTAACACAAACCACTACGTTAAAAACAAAGGATCAAATAGGCAGAATATAGCTCAGCACGTGCTTATAAAACTTTGTTACATTTCTCAGCAATCCTCTGCAAAACAAACAACGTTTGATTTGCGTGGACTCTGAACAAAAAGCCTAACAGCAAATTATCTAAGCCGATTTGGAATCCAAGGAGGCTCACATATGTTGCGCGGAAGTCGAAGCGTGGCGTCGCTAAAGGTTCTTGAAGGCTCTTTGAAACGGTTTCAACACTTGACCAACATTCGTTTGAAAAAGTTGTGCGGCGGCCTTTTTAAAGGCCTTACAAAGGTCTTCGAAAGACTTACAAAGGAAAAGTTGAATCAATGTCCAATGAATGTTTAAGCCGATTAAACCTGATGCAACACTGAGTGAAATCCGACTTAGTGCCTGATGATGATACTCGGTTAACCGGCGCCCTTAATTACATCCCCTATATGTTGGCTTTGCTTCCTGAAGAAAGCCTTTGTGGGTAAGCTCTCACAAAGCATAAAATAATTTAAAACCATTCTAATTTCTAGGTCTCTGTTTTCACCTTATTTCTTTTCGAAGACTAGTCGCCCGACAGCCATATATAACCTCGACTCCTCGGAATACAATTATGACATACGCTGAATTAATTCAACCCTTTAAAGATAACTTTAGTACTCACTCAACAGGGTTATCGACAACAGGAGTATTCCCAACAACTGGGAGCAGCATCTCGTCGTCATCATTTCCTTCCGTTATGTGAATTGAGTTCCTGTCAGCTGAACCAAACGCAACCTTCAGTAACTGTAGATCGGTTCAAAATATCTTTTGCTGTTATAAATGCACGGCTTTTGAGAATTTTCTTTTCAGGAATATTTAAAGTTCAGTCACCTACTGTTGTTTTGAGTTAGAAGCAGCGGTTTAATCAGCTCTGGCATATGACGCGGGAAGTTGACTGTTATGCAAATTACTGAGGTCGGGTCTCTCTGCTGAACTCTTGTGAAAATAAGCCTTTACACTAAAATAAAAATAACAAAAGCCATGAAATTGACATTTGCAGAAAATGTTTCATCCGAATTGTAATTGTGGTATGGGATTCGCAAAACATAACGAAAAACAGAACGTTTTTCAATAGTACAGCCTTAGGCTAAAGATATTTGTGGTTTTTTTTTTTTTTGACAGGTTTTACTTAGTTTCCATGTCACATTTAATCACTGACAGTTGTCATCTTTGTTTATCTAGCCCGTTGACATCGAAGTAACGTTTTTCTTCGGAGCGCTGGCATCACGAAAATTCCCTTGAAGCAATTACATCTCCACTTGCAATAATTCTGTGGTAATAAAAACTTTTTTTGTTGGGTTTTTCTATTGTTCGTCACCAAGTGGTGCAGAGCGGTAGATCTAACCTGCGTATGCCACGCACTAGAGGGTGATATTGACAAAATGTGTGATGTTTTTCATTTCTTAAAATGATAAATGGGCATAATAGCTCACCAAGGCTTCATAAGTCGTTTAATTTAAAGAAAAGAACTGACAATCCTATGAATTTCTCTATTGGATAGGAGTGTTCGTTGCTTTCATTGCTAATATATTAAAACAATTATTTCAGTGGCACGGAGGGATATTTCATGTTAGACTATGGGGTTCATAGTCAATCAGAATGCGGTAAGGAACCAGTCATTATTTATCACCTGGGAAGGGTAAGAGGGATTTTTGCAGGGGGGAGCACATGTTTTGCAGGGGGAACGGAGAGGGAATTAATCGTCGCTAACAGAGTATTAAGAGAGGGACCAAGGACAATTCACTTTCTATGAGAGGGGATAATTAGACTACTAAACAGCCAAAGAAGGGAATTGATAAACCTCCTGTAGCAAGACTGAAATGGCCTGAGTTCCACCCCCCTTGTTCCCTTTTTTTCTTCCAGGTGGTAAATAATGACCGATCCTTAGTCAGTAATAATCTGCATATGAAGAGAAATCACTTGTCTAACAAAGTTGTCACGTTCGATATGGAGTGCGACGTTGGACTACGTGTAGAATTTATGCTTCCAAAGAACAAAACACACAACTACAGGAGTACACAGTCGACCACATTATCGCTTAAGGAGTTTCACCATAGCCTTATTTTTTTCACATCGAGAAACGATTGTAATTGCAACCTACATTGTAATCCTAATAATAATTTGCTATGATCAAACAAGCACAATAGTTCTGGATAGTTTTTCATTTAGCTGTTTCCCCAAAAAATTGACGGGTTAATACCAAAAAGCCGATAAAAATGGTTTTGTTATCAACCAGCCGTTTCAGATTTCCCTTAGAGTTTCTCGAAATTTTTTTGGAAATGATCTAGAGTAAAGGTAAACGAATAAATTAAGAAAACCAGAACGACGTAGTTTAAATATTTATTGCGAAAGGTAATCTACTAACTGCTCCGTCCGGTGTTTGACATGTTTGATCGAATTTTGCCTTTCCAATAAATGTAATTTCGTTAACTACGTGATCATACTTAAAGGCAATGTTTTATCTACGGCGTGTATTATAAACATTTGCCCGCATGCATTCATATTACAGATAGCTCGATTTCTTTGCGTTATTCAAAGAAACCAGAATTTAAATAAATCCGAAAAAAATTCGTGACAAAACTAAAATCGTAATTGCCGCCGATGTCTGCACCATGCATTTCTAGCTATCATGAAATGGCGCGCTGTTATAGCTAGTCAGAGCGCGTGTTATTTCAAGATGTTGCCATCTTTGTGTGGTAAAGTGTTTTCTTTTTTAATTCATATTTCGGAAGCCCTATCTAAATGCAAAGACAGCTGACGAATCTGTGTGGCAGTTTGCATATTTTTCGAGAAGCACTCCACATATCCTTCCATTTTCCTATGATAAAATCATTTACCTGACATGTACGCACGATTCTGAAACGTGGTTACCACCACGTTTACATGCATCTAGATGCACCTGCCGACCATTGGTAAGACCATAAAAGGCTCAGGTAAATGGATACTTCAGTTCCCTTTTTGACCGTCTTCTTTTCTACTTTAGTAGATTTATATTAAATTAACTATATGCTTTTTCTTTCTACCTTATTTTCTAATGATATAGAGAAAAGCTTATAAACTGCAATGGGTAAATGACAATTTTCTATGTGAAGAGTTGGAGTAAGTCATTGCATAAATTAGCGTAACCATGATTTATAAATATTAAGAGCGACTTGGTGAGTTGACTGAGTAAATATCGAAAAATGTGACACATGGTCGAAAAATCGAAAACCTTCATATTTTATCCAGAGACACCTTGAAGTGAACATAGAAACTTGGTAAGGTTTTGTTTTTTCATAGCTTTGCTTCTTTATCCCAGAAAATTCACAAAAACTGGAGCGCGCATCGGTAGCTGTAAAATGATGGAAATCAGTGCCCCGAGCTGAGGAAAACACACTTTGCAAAAGAAAGTCGCTAGAGAAAAAAAGATCGCATCAGTTTTATAAATTTGTGTAGGAAAGATTTAGGTATAGTTTAAGTCTATGCGGGACCATTTCATTTAATTTGATGTTCACAGAACGCTTTTGAAAATCACCAAAATTTTACAAACGCCCATCGAAGCGCAAATCTCGATTTTGACGCCTAAAGAGCACCTGTTGAATCGTAGAACGGTTGATCTACGTTAAGTATTAGCACAGGTGTCCGAAACGTGTGAAAAGCGAGAGACTAATTCTCGGACACGAAAGTGTTGATCAGAGATCAAAAAGACATTAAAAGTGTCACGTTTTGTGTGGAACTGTGTTAGATTACACAAGACACCTGGGACGCCCGTGGTATTTGCAAGCAAATTGGCTGAGGGGATGGGGAATAACCTCCGGAGAAAGAATGAACTATCCAAGTCCCCCCATGTCATAAATACTGGGGTATGCAGAAGATGGCTGGGGCAGGGATAAGAAGGACGGGGCAAGCACATTTGAGGGCAGTACAAATTCCAAACCTTTGTCAAAGCGGTACATAAAAATAACGGCACATAACTTCCTCCGTGCAGCACTTTTTTAATGATTAAGATTACATCTTTCCAGTTAGATAGAGGAAATATATCTGTATAATCACTACGTTTCTCATGTTTGGCTACTTGGCTACCTTCTTTGGCAAGAATACTAAATAATTGACTGGTTGAGGTTAATTTTCAAAGCCACTGTTTCCAAAATGCAAGTATTTGATGTAGGCATATCGACCTGGGTAGTAGTCTTACCACCGGTACGAGTAACTTAACAAGGCGCGGTAGTCTCTGGAGAAGAAGAAGTGTAAATATAAAGCTGTTGAACGTTTGCTTTTAGAAAAACTTCAGAGAAAGTTGTGGTTTTCTAGGTCTGATCCTTAAAGAACTTCTTTTAAATAAACAAATAATCAAACACTACACTTTTCTTTGTCGCACATCTGCAGTGATGTAGGATGGGCTATGTCCTTTGCAGACCTTTCGCTCTCTTTTTTGTTATTGAGGGAGCAATCAACAATTTTAGGACTGCAATCCCCTTTTGTGACACAGCAATATGGATGGTAATGTGATATTTTGTTAAATAAGCTGTAGACT